GTAGAGTGAATGACCCTCGAGAGTTGTTCTTCTGAGGCCGCAATCGGAGGTGGAGAGCCGCCAAAAAGGACTGGGGGATGGTAACTTCGTTTTTCTTCAACAACGGCTCGCTGACGATAACAGAGCCATCAACGGGTAGACCCGAGAGACGAGGCGAGAGCTTCCTCGAGGAGAGCTCAAATAGACGGCCGAACATTGCGGCTGGAGTCAGGAGCGTAGCAAGTGTGGTGATTTGGATGGCCGGGTTGCGAACAGGTCCACCAAAACTGCTAGCCTAAGAGTGCTTTGTGAGAGGCGACCGGCAAGACAGAAACATCAGCATGAAGGTTATCGAAAGGCGACACTTTATAGCAACCCTTGACTGCGCGGAGGGCAGCGTTCTGAGCTAAATGAAGGCTGTGGAGGCTAAAAGAGCTGATCGTAGTTGACCAGACCGGTGCCACATAAGCGAGGCGCGGCTTGGCCAGCGCTTTGAATGGGGTCGTCAAAGTCTCTTGCGCGCAGCCCCAGGAAGTGTTCCCCAGAGCCTTAACGACCTTTATGCAGCGGCTCACTTTGCTTGCGACCTCCCTGGCATGGTCCGCGAACGTGAAAAGCGGATCTAAACGGATGCCAAGGAGCTTGGGCTTACGGACGAGTGGAAAGGATGCACCCTTCAGGATGATGGCCGGCTGGCGGTTCAACCTCTTCGGGTCCAGCGTGAAAACAGTGATGAACGATTTGGCTGCCGAGATCGTCAACCCCCGCGCTGGGCGAAGAAGTTGGCGATATCAGGCATGAAATTTGAGAGGAGCTGCGCAGCCTGCTCGATGTATTGGTCCACCACCATGTGGTGGTACCAACAGTAGAACGTGATATTATCTGCGTACGATACCACTTTCGCGGGTGCCTGAGGGAGTAGGAGGTCTCGCATGTAGATGTTGAAGAGCGTTGGACTGAGGACAGAGCCTTGAGGAACGCTGCAGGGCTGTTTGTGGGACACAGAGATAGCGAAGGAGGATACGGTCGTGGCGGCCAGGGATGTAAGCCGTAAACCATCGGACCAGGCCAGTCGAGAGTTTCAGGGAGACGAATTTCGACGGTCTTTCAACCTGGTGCAATTCCAGAGGATTGGCTGGCCTTTGTAAGTGTTCACCACTGCCTA